CCAGGAACTAGGAGTTCCCGGAGTATCTGACCTGTGCTTCCCTTGGAAATTTAAAATACCTCACTGCAGCTGCTGTGAGCGTGCTACAGTGCCTCAGAGTATCAGCACAGTGTGGGACCCTACTGGGAAGGTCTTCTATTTTTTTTTGAGCAGGAGTTTCACTCTGTCACCCCGGCTGGGAGTGCAGTGCCACGATCTTGGCTCACTGCAACCTCTGCCTCCCAGGTTCAAGTGATTCTCCTGCCTCAGCCTACCGAGCAGGTGCGATTACAGGTGCCTGCCACCACGCCCGTAGTATTAGTAAAGACAGGGTTTCACTATATTGGCCAGGTTGGTCTTGAACTTGTGACTCACTATCCACCCACCTCAGCCTCCCAAAGTGCTGGGATTACAGGGGTGGAGGTTTAGTAATTTTTGTAGTTTTAGTAGAGACGAGGTTTCACCATGTTGGCCAGATTGGTCTTGAATGCCTGACTCATCATCCACCTGCCTCGGCCTCCCAAAGTGCTGGGATTACAGGTGTGGAGGTCTTCCATTACATTGTAAGAATACACCCTAAGTTATTCAACAGGATTCCTATTAGTAAATATTAAGCGATTTATAATTGTCACTTTCGTTTTTTTTCACCCATTTTTAAGAATTGAGGAAAACCAATCATTGCCACTTTCAAACAATGTTGCAATAAAAGTCCTTCTACATGTATCTATGAATATTTGTCCAGTTATTTCATTTACTTGTTTATTTAACTAATTTAATTTTTTTTTCTTGACAGAGTTTCGCTCTTGTTGCCCAGGCTGGAGTGGATTGGCAAAATCTTGGCTCACCGCAACCTCTGCCTCCTGGGTTCAAGCGATTCTCTTACCTCAGCCTCCGAGTAGCTGGGATTACAGGCATGTGTCACCATGCCCAGCTAATTTTTTGTATATAATTTTTTTTTCTTTTAGTAGAGATGGGGTTTCTCCATGTTGGTCAGGCTAGTCTCAAACTCCCAACCTCAGGTGATCCGCCCACCTCGACCTCCCAAAGTGCTGGGATTACAGGTGTGAGCTACCGAGCCTGGCCTATTTAACCAATTTTTATTATATGTCTATTATGTGCCAGGCACTGCCTGAGATACTGAAAAAACGTGAATAACACAGACAAGGTCCCTCATGAAATCCATTGTCTAGCAAGGAAGCAAGAAACAGAAAAACTAATCCTTTCAGGAATGACAGACTATAAAGGAAAATACAGTAGAGAATGGTCAGAGAAAGCAGGGGCGTGGAGAGGGGGATGCTATTTCAACAGAGTAGTCATGGAAGTTCTCCTAAAAATATGACATGGACCGGCCCAGCGGCTCATGACTGGAATCCCAGCAGTTTGGGAGGTAGAGGCAGGGGATCACTTGAGCCTAGTTCACCAACCTGGGTAACACAGTGAGAATCCATCTCTACAACAAATATAAAAATTAGGCATGGTGGTTATAAGCCTGTAGTCCCAGCTACTGAGGTGGGGGTTGGGGGTCTGAGGTGGGAGCATCTCCTTTTTTTTTTTTTGAGTCAGAGTTTTGCTCTGTCACCCAGGCTAGTACAATGGCACAGTCTCAGCTCACTGCAACCTCCGCCTCCCGGGTTCATGCGATTCTCCTGCCTCAGCCTCCCGAATAGCTGAACTACAGGCGCATGCCACCACACCCAGCCGATTTTTGTATTTTTAGTAGAGACGGGGTTTCACTATTTTGCCAGCCTGGTCTTGAACTCCTGTCCCCGTGATCTGCCCCCCTGGGCCTCCCAAAGTGCTGAGATTACATGCGTGAGCTAGTGTGCCTGGCCTGGGAGCATCTTTTGAGCCTAGGAGGCTGCAATGAGCTGTGATCAAGCCACTGCACTCCAGCTTGGGTGACAGAGAGACCCTGTTTCAAAAAAAAAAAAAAAAAAGGTATGTTACTTTAACAGAGAGCACATAAACATAAAGGAACAGGGAGGCATGCAGAGCAGAGGTCTGAGCAATGTTGTTCCAAGCAGGAGGAACAGTGAATAATAAACTCCTTGAGGTAGGAATAAGCTTGCAGTGTTGGAGGAGCAAGCAGTCAATGTGGTTAAAGAAAAGCAAAGAGGAGACTAGTAATGAGATGGAGAGGAAAGCAGGGGCCAGATAAAACAGGACTTTATAGGTCAGAATAAAGAGTCTGAAAGTTCTGGAGAGGATTCCATGCAGGAAAGGGATGGGATGAAGAGATCTCTCTAGCCTGCTCTAGTTGTGCTTGCAAAGGAAGGCCAACTAGGGCTACTTAGAGCAGCCCACGGAAAAGATGATAGTGGGGTGGAATATGGTGGGATGTGGTGGTGGAAATGGTCATAAACGACCGGATTCCAGGCATATTTTTAAAGGTAGAACTGACACACTGGCAGACGAACTGATTGTGATAAAGAGAATCAAAAACGGCTTTTAGGTTTTGGGCCTGAGCTAACAGATGAATGGAGAAACTACTGAATCATGCAAGACTAGGAAAGGGGCATCATTAGGCAAAGATATTAAGCTTTTTTTTTTTTTTTTTTTTTTTTTTTTTTTTGAGACAGAGTGAGACTGTCTCCCAGGCTGGAGTGCAATGGCTCGGTCTTGGCTCACTGCAACCTTTGCCTCCTGGGCTCAAGCGATTCTTTTGCCTCAGCCTCCCGAGTAGCTGAGACTACAGGCACCACCATGTCCAGCTAATTTTTGTATTTTTAGTAGAGACCATCCTGGCTAACAGAGTGAAACCCTGTCTCTACTAAAACACAACAAATTAGCCGGGCGTGGTGGCATGCGCCTGTAGTCCCGGCTACTCGGGAGGCTGAAGCAGGAGAATCACTTGAACCCATGAGGCGGAGGTTGTATGGAGCCAAGATCATGCCACTGCAGTCCAGCCTGGGCGACAGAGTGAGACTCTGTCTCAAAAAAAAAAAAAGAAAAAAAAGTCTTAACTTCATCTGGAACTGATTCTGTGGTATGGTGTGAGATCAGGACGTTCTGACTCCTGACATAGCTGAACTCTCTCCCAGCAAAATGGTCTCTATCCACAAACAGCCACTTAACTCCATTCTTTCCAGCCAGTGAGCTCCCTCTACTTAGCCCCACAAGGGAAGAAGTCCAAGTCACCAATAGCTCACCCCTGGGACTACCCTCCTCTCTCTGGTCTCTCCTGATTCCATTCTTCCTCCCTGGTCCCCTATCAGTTCTTCATACAGCAACATTTTTTCAAATGTGAGTTTGCTGTCACTCTCCTGTTTATAATTGTCCAACGACTACCTACTGAAAATAGAATTAAGTTGTGACTCGTTACCATAATACATAATATCCCATGCTTCTCCAGACTATTTCTGTAACACTCTTCTTCTCTCATCCACTAAACCTCAGCCACACTGGTCACCTTTCAGCTTCCAGGTCAAGTCCAAGTTCATTTCTCCCTCAGACCCTTTGCACTTCCTATTTCCTCTCCCTGAAAAGTTCTCACCCTAGAAACTATGTCTTCGATGACTCGCTGCCTCTCATCATGCAGGTAATGTCGTCTTCTCACACAAAACTTCCCAGACCCTGACACCATCCCAACTGAAGTAGCCCCACCTCAGCCAGGAGCTGTGGCTCATGCCTGTAATCCCAGCACTTTGGGAGGCCTAGGTGAACGGATAACCTGACGTCGGGAGTTCGAGACCAGACTGACCAACATGGAGAAACTCCGTCTCTACTAAAAACACAAAATTAGCCAAGCATGGTGGCACATGCCTGTCATCCCAGCTACTTAGGAGGCTGAGGCAGGAGAATCGCTTCTCCCCCGGAGACGTAGGTTGCAGTGAGCCGAGATCCTGCCATTGTACTCCAGCTTGGGCAACAAGAGTTAAACTCTGTCCCCCAATAAATAAATAAATAAAGTAGTGCACCTCAGTGACTCTCCACAGCATTACCCTGTTTCACTCTATTTGAGACAATTGCCATTAACTGAATTATCTTGTTCATTCATTGTATTCATGCTTACTGCCTGCCCCTTCACATAGACAGTGCTCTTGAAGGTAGGGTCCTGGTCTGTCGTGTTCACCTCTGAAACCTCACAGTGTTTTCTGTCTACAACACAGGAGGTGCTTAATTTTTATATTATAGGAGGGAACTATCCGGGGTTTGGCTTCTTAATCAAACTTGTAGACCCCCTAGGATTCGCCTTTAACGTAGGTTAACTATACTGTGAAATCAGTCACCCTTCTCTCCCTCCGGCCAGCCCCCAAAGTAGGACAAAGCGCTAAGCTTGCTCAACTCTGCAAAACATAACTCTGGGAGGCCTGAGACTGGCGCCTGCACGGTCTTGGCACTGCTGAGCCATCCTCCCAGCCCGGAACCCACAGGCGGCGAGAAGCGCCAAGTTTCCGCAGCCTCCGTCCGGCCCCGCCCGCCAGAGGAGGAGGGAGAAAGGGGAGGGCAGAGCTGCTTACCAGTTCATCCGGGCTCAGGACTCCGAACTGCACTCTCTTGATGGTGCGCAGCGGGCATGCGCTGTCCCCCGAGGGGGGGCCACCCCCATGCATGGCGAAGGCAGCCGCGCTGCGCAGGCGCAAACCTCACTACAAAAAGCCTGCGCCGCCTCCGCCTAGGTGCTCAGACCTCGTCAGGGCGGCCACAGAGAAGGACCTCCCCGAGTTGGGAGGAAAAAGCCGGAGGAGGGAAAGGTGGGGGAGGGAAGGAGGCGGAGAAATAAGGAGCGAAAGGAGCCCTTCTTTCCCTTTCCGGAAATTTTTCAGCTCCCAAAAAGGAAAAAAAAAGAAAGGGGAAAGGAAAAGGTTTTTGGGGGAGGAAGAAGAAAAAGGGTAACGAATAAATAAGTAACCAGGCTCCTGAACGGCAGAGGTTACGGCAGTTTGTCTCTCCCCCTTCCGGGAGCCGCCTTCTTCTCCAACCGTCCCGGCCGCGCTCTCGGCGCTTCTGAGCAGCGAACTCGCCGAACGACGCCTCTTATAGATTCGCCCTTGCGTCCCCGCCCCTTCCTTTCCCGCCCTGCCTTGCGCTACGGGGCTGCCTGCGCAGGCCCGCACGGGGTGCGAACCAGAGTGGTAGATCCTCCCCCGCTCGCTGGTTGGGCGACCTTTTGAAGTGACAGAGAGGAATTTTTTTTTTAATTCCATCGCCTCCCCTCGCTGCTCCCTCCTGCACTGAGGCTTAAGGTTTGAAGACTCGAGGGTAAAACTGGGCCGCTTGCATTCTAGTTTGGACCACGCTTTCATCTTCAGCAAAAGCCTCTCACTCGTACCCCCCCCAGCTGGAAAATGGTCTGCTCTGCTAATCGGTAATAGAGGCGGGGCGGGGCGGGTCCTCCCGAGTGGGCTCCCGGGGGAGGGCGGTTGCTCATGAATATGCAGTTCCCGTGCTGAATATGCATGAACAAATCAAGATGGCTGGGACAGTGGCTTGTCCGGAAGTAGCCGATATTTGTCAGACGGCCCCCAGAGACGGGTGGGCATCTCCTGGCCTCTAATGTAGCGCTGTACTGAGCCACGGTCCTGGATCCATAGCCTGAACCGCTTGAAGAGACCTCACCTCGGAGGCTGGCTCCGGAAGGAGCCTGGCCACTGTCCGGAAGATATCACGGGACCGCGACAATCCGAGAAAAGCAGATTAGCCATGGGGCGGGCCACAAAAGTCCTGGGGGATTTAGGGTCAAGTCATCTGAACATTAGGAAATCCTCCACTTTGTAGAATATTTCAGGAATAAAATGGGGGGCGGGGACCCCAAGGAATTCTCCAATGAGAACAGTCGTAGGACTTCCACTCTCCCTCCAAAGCAGAGACACCACTGCACGGCCACATTCAGAGTAATCCTTGTTTGATGTCAATGTCACGTCACCACCCCAAGGGGGGGCACAAGCACGAGGAAAGGAAACCTTCGCCGGGAGGGGAGAGGTGGGGAGGCACGCTCCCCTCCCCCAGCGCAGCTGCTGGCTGTCTTTGCCGGAACGCTCCAGCCCCAATGCTCTTCTCTTTGCTGCTGAGTGAAGTCCTCCCCGCAGCCCACGACCTGCCTGCCTCAGACCCTTGGATGTGCTCCTCAGACTTTACCCCTTAGTTATGCCCTGATTCCCGGGACCCAGCCTGGACTCCACATCCCTTGGTCCCAGGGTTCCAGGTCTTCTAGGTAGTCCCTCTCCACCAAGTCCCCAAGTCACCCTTGACTCTGACAGGTATCCCTCTCCCACACCAGTTCTTTTCCAGTCACTTGTCCTCCCATGTTTGTCTTCAGTCTTTGCCTCTGTTTACCCCCGTCCCTCCCAACCCCCAGGCTCCCGAGTTCTGTCTCACTCCTCCACCTTCCCTTCCCTCTCACAGCTGAGGTTCCGGGCTGTGATGATGGCAATGCTGCCCAGCACAACCCCTGCCCCCATGATGTCGGAAGGTGCCACGGTCTCACGGAGCACATAATACTGCAGCATAAGGGCCACCACCACCTCAGAGTGCAGGACAGCGCACACCAGGGCAGGGTGGGTCTTGGTGACCGCGTAGCTCACGCATGCGAAGGAGACCAAGGCAAGGACCACCACTGCCCCCACACAACTCCAACTCAGGGGATCACTGGGCAGCACAGGGGTCTGCAGCACAAAGAGGCTTGGCACAGAGCCCAGCAGCCCCACCAAGCCAAACAGGAAGGCCACTGTTGGGAGGCAGGAGGGGAAGTCCAGAGAACGGTAGACCAGAAGCCCCAGGGACAGTGCCAGGCCTCCCAGGAAAGCCAGCACATAGCCCAGGGCAGTGTAGAGGCCCGTGGTCCCCTCCTGCAGTGTCCCTAGTCCAGATCCCACAATGATGATTAGTCCTAGGGTGCTGCCCAGCAGTCCACACCAGTCGTAGCCACTGAGACCCTGGCTCTCAAGGCAGAGAGCAAGGAGAGCGGAGCAGACAGTGGAAGAACCTTTGCGAACAGTGGCAGCGTTGGCAGCAGGCACCATCTGAACCGCAGTGTAGGCACATCCAATGCTAAAGACATTGAGCAGGGCATGGAGGCAGGCCCGGCCTCGGACATCAGGAGGTCCCAGAAGTGGGTCGCCACGCAGTTTAAGTAGGAGGGCAATAGGGAGGTGGAAGAGGCATCGACAGATGAGCAGCTCCAGCGAGGGCAGGTGGGAAGCCTGGTAAGCCATACGAGAAAAGAGGCCTACGAAGCCAGCAGGCAGGCCCCCACCCAGCAGGGCCACCAGCAAGCCCTTGGTGGCATCAGAGGGCCGGCAGCGCTGGTGCGAGGGGAGGTTGGGTGGAGTGGAGGGCGGCGATGGCTGTGTGAAGTCAGACAGGTTGAAGAAGGGGTGACTGCCAGCCTGTTAGGGAGAAAGCTCAGGCATGAGGGCAGCCACAGCCCAGGCGACCTGGGCCAGGGCAGGTGCCAGGAGGGGGTCTGGAACCCTGTGGGACTGTAGAGGGTTTGGCTATTTTGCTAAGGAACTCTTGGAAGCTAGAAAGGGCCTAAAAGATGAGTGAGGTGGTATAATATGGGCCTGGAGCAGCAGGCAGGGAGTGAGTGGTCCTGGAGCATCGTGTTGCTCTGGGTAAGTTGTTCCTGGGAGAAGAAAAAGGACCCAGGATGCTCTGTTGGATTGAGGAAGGGGAGGCAGCCTCAGATGCCATGCATCTGTGTGATGCCACAGGTTCCAGAGACATCTGGGTACACCTTTATGAATTCCATTTGTGGGTATCTCTGAGACAGCTAAGTTTTGACAGCTAAGTTTTAGGAAAGGAGGGGAAACAGAGCAGCCAGGAGCTATAGGGAGGGGGTGTTGGGCCCCTGGCCCCCACACTCACCATCTTTCCTTGAACTTCTTCCTCTCTTCCTGGCTCAGGGAGCCTGGGCCCCTCAGAACTCCAGTCATTGTGACCTGGTTTGAGTGAGGGTGGGGTTCTTCCCTGGAAGCCTCCCAAGGTGGTAGTGGGCCTGTTTTCCCACTCTGCTTCTTTTTTTAGACGGAGTTTCACCCTTGTTGCCTTGTTGCCCAGGCTGGTGCAATGGTGCAACCTCAGCTCACTGCAACCTCTGCCTCCTGGATTCAAGCGATTCTCCTGCCTCAGCCTCCCGAGTAGCTGGGATTACAAACATGCATCACCACGCCTAATTTTGTTTTTTGTTTGTTTGTTTGTTTGGTAGAGGCAGGGTTTCACCATGTTGGTCAAGCTGGTCTGGAACTCCTGACCTCAAGTGATCCACCCCCTCCGCCTCCCAAAGTGCTGGGATTCCAGGCTGGGATTCCAGGCGTGAGCCACCATGCCCAGCCCAACTCTGTTACTTTTCTATGTCTCCATGACTCCAAAGTTTGTCTGATTCTTTTATTCTTTTTATGGCTAGCTCTGTGGCTTTACCTTAATTTGTTTGTTTATATTTTGCATTGTTTGAGAGAGGTTTTAAGGAAAGAAGTTCTGAAGCCTGGCTCCTCCATCTCCAGAGTTCTAACTTTTCTAGCACCAGGGAGGAGTCCTTGGGATTGTCCCTCTGGAGTTTCAGGAATGTGTTTTTTCTGTGTGTGCTTCCACCTGGTGTTTTGTTTATGTTGTCCCAAGAGGCCAACGCCGAGGCCTCTGCATTTACGTTCAGGTATACAGATGTGGATCTATCTGCTGGTGGGGACAAAGTACCCAGCCAGCTTTGTATGTTCATTTGCGCTGGTGGTCTCTGATGTGTGCCCCTTACTCGGGGCCAGGGCCTTCCTTGTCTGCGGCCTGCTGAGCGTCCCTGCGCATTCCTGGGGTGTGTGTGTGTGTGTCCAGGGCTGGCCCTCCGAGTGTGCTGACCCTGGGTCTGTGGATCCCACTGGGCCTGATTATGAGTCTGGCGTGTCATTTCTGCACCCTGAGCCTGTGTTATGCTTTCAAGCGGTGTGCACTGCTGAGTGAAGGGCGTGAAGGAGGAAGGGCGGAGGGAGCCCTTTCCCTGGGGGTCAGTGGTCTTGCGCCCCTGCCGGGGTGCAGCCGCCCGACCCGCGCCCCGCTCGGTGTCCACCCGCCTGGTGGCCCAGCGCGGCGCGGTGTCCTGCCGGGGATCAGTCCCGGGGAAGGCCGTCGGGCGCTCAGAGCTTTGTGTCAGCGTTTGCTGCGCTGCGGCGGCCTCCTCTCGGCGGCGGCGGCGGCGGCGGCGCTGGGGGGGGACTGTTTCCGGGGGTGGGGGTGGGGGTAGGACCGGGGCGGGGGGAGCAGCCGATGATAGCGGCGGCGGCGGCGGCGGCGGCGGCGGCGGGGCCGGGCCGGGGCCAGGCGCTGGGGGGGCTGGGGCCGGAGCTGGAGCCGGAGCCGGAGCTGGAGGCGGGCGAAACTGGAGCGGCCCGGGGCGGCCACGGTGATGAGCCGGGCCTGGCGGACGCGGCGCCATCGCAGTCAGGTGGGCCCCGGGGCGAACTGGGCAGGGCCAGGGCGGACCGGAGCCAACTACCGGGCCCCCTCCCCGCTGCCCGGTGCCGCGGGAGCCCCGGCCGCGCCCTGAGCTCAGACCGCTCTCCTTTGGGGTTGACCTGGGGGCGCAGGGGTCGGGGGCTGAGCCTGGCCCCGCCCCCGGGTGCGCACGACGCTGGGGGGCGACTAAGGGGGCCCTGGTATGGCGTCCGAGCAAGCGGCGGCCGGGGGACGCGATCGCCTGGGGCCGTGGAAGGGGCGTCGCTCACTCCCCTTTTGAAGGGTTAATTCTGCAGCCTAGGCCTCCCCCCCCCCGCGTGGGGCAGGTTGGGGGTGGGGTGGGGCGGGTGTGAGCCCGGGCAAGCGCTGCAAGCTGCTGGGAGGGTGATGGCGTAGGAGCCAGGCAGAGAGGGGGAGGGGTGGGCCGCCAAGCGCCCCAGAGTTGGGGTGTGCGGGATGTGCAGGGCGAGCTGGGGCCCCGGAACCGCCGTGCCGTCGGGGCAGGGTTGTGGCTGTGAGTCTTGGAGATCCTGTGTCTCGTGCGGTGTGGGGAGGCAAGGTAAACCTCTCCTGGGCACCACCGTTTGCTGGTCTGGCAGCCAAAGGTCCGGGTAGGGCCTTCCCTAGGCTATGGAGATAGAAAGCCAGGAGGGGTGTCCAGTGTTGTGGGGCAGAATTACAAGACGAGCCCTGTGGCTTTGGGTGACAGATGGGCATTCTGAGATGGGCATAGGACGCTGAGTGCAGAGTTTGTTGGATATGGGGCTGTGTGTTTCCTACAGCATGTGTTTTCTCACATGTGTGTCTTGTGCTGCACCTTATCACCTGTTTATGAACTGTTTTCTGCAGAGCTGGCATGCTGTATGTGTTTCGGAGGGTGCCAGGATGCAGAGTGTATGTGCCCTTTTGGAGGGGGTGGTTGTGGGCCTTTGAGTCAAAAGGCGTCACATCTGGGTCCCATTTCTGTGGCCCTGCTGAGGTGTGGTCCAGTGGTGAAGAGGGCGATGGATGGGCTTGTGTGTCGGTGATGAGCGAGTTGGGTGGGGGCTGCTCGTCTAGAACTCAGATCTAGAAGATCCTGAGGGGAGTGAGGAACCCCAGGGTGTGTCTCGGGCCTGTGGGTCAGCTGGCGCTGGTGTCAGGGACTCAGGGTGGGATGCACCAGTTGTGTTTATGGGATCATGGGCAGCCAGGCAAGGGGAAGGTTGTGTGTTTGCAACATTCTCCACGGTATTCTTTTGTGACGTTGTTTGTAGGAGCCTGTCGGGGCTGCTGGGCTGGGAGGCAAGCTGGTCAGAAAACACATGTGAGGAGGGAGGTGGTGTGACAAGGGCAGTGTGGGCCTCAGACCCAGGAGGCCAGCCGCAAGCAGGCTGCGTGTGCGTGCCTGCCGTCTGCGTGCTTGAGTGGTGGTGGGGCTGCCGGGGGATGTGATATGAGGAAGGCCACAGATAAATGCAGGGTAGTGCAGGGCAGCCGGGACAGGCATGGGTGTTGTCGAGTGGCCCAGCTAGTCTTTGCAGGGTTCGTCTGTGCCCCTCACTGGCCCACCCAGCATGTCATGTCAGGGTCACCCGGAGGAGAGGCTGGGCGGCCACAGGGGAAGTAAGCTTAGACAGAGCGGCTCCTTGGCCATGTTTATGTAAAGGCTGGGTGTGACTCTTGTCACTAAAATGGAAAAAAGAAACGTGAAGTTGTCAGCCTCCTCCCGCTTTGCCCTCTCCCTCTCTGCCCCCCTTGTGGGTATCTGTGACGCACACTGGGCCCCACTCCTGCGACGGTGGAAGGGCCTGGGAACGGAATTCGCTCACTAGGCAGATTCCTCAGAACAGGTTTTCCTCACCTTTGGGGCCTGGGCCCTTCTACAGGGGTGTATGTGCGAGTGCATTCCAAGCCTGCACACCGCTATCTACTGCACCGGCCTGGTTGGATGTGTGTACGTGGGGGAAGGGAGGGCACTGCGGACAGGCTCTCTGGCCTGGGGGGCTGGGAGGGGGTGGCCACCGTGGGAGCCTCCACAACAGGTGCACAGTGACGGCCTGGTGCAGAGAAAGGAGCCCTGGCCTAGGGCTGAGGAGTTCTGGCGTCTTTACCGTTCCCTCACTGGCACTTTATCTGAAAGCAGCTCGGTTCCTCATCTGCAGAAGGGGGCTGATTGCCTGCCCTGCGTATCATCCAAAAACACTTGGGAAACGAACTGGGAAAGTAGCTAGAGTCTGGGGGCTGTGCCTGTGGCAGCCCCGTCAGCCCCGTCAGCCCTCCACCAAGACTGGGAATTCCTTTCTCAGGGCTTCGCGAATAATGATGGCAGCACACACTTGCTTAGCACTGACTGTTCATCAGCCACGGTTCTCAGGGCTTTTATGTGTGGCCACTCAGTTTGTCGTCAGAACAGCATGGTGAGTGGCACTCTAATCACCTCCCTTTTTCAAGTGAGGCAGCTGAGGCCCAGAGAAGTTAAGTAATTTGCCCCAAGTCACTTAGCTAGTAAGAGGCGAACCTGTATTTGAACCCAGGCAGTCAGGTGGCAGATCTTGTGCTCTTTAACTACTGTACTCTCTGTCTTCCAGAGCATTCAGTGGTTGGTCCTTTCTGTGCAACCCCCTCCAACATTCTTCCCCTAGTTGCTGCAAAACTTAGCATCTGTGGCAGTCCATTTCAGAAGACCCGGATGCTCACGGAGCCCCAGCTGGTGGCATGAGAACCCGAGTCTCTGCTGCTGTATAAGGTGCATACTGGCCATAGGGGCACAAAAGATTGATGAGTCAGAGGAAGGAGAGATTGTCCTCATCCTGTGGGTCAGGGAGGGCTAAGAAGGAGGTGGCCTTGGAGTTAGATCTTAACATTTCAGAGGGATTTTGAGAAGGTTGGAGAAAGAGCATTTCTGGTGGGACAGCCAGCACAGACAAAGGCATGGAAGTGTGGGATGTGAAGAGGCTGGAGAGCACACTGAGTGTCTGGGGTTTCCTTTATTTGTTTGAGATGGGTCTCACTATGTTGCCCAAGCTGGACTCAAATTCCTGGGCTCAAGCAATCATCTCGCCTCAGCCTCCTGAGTAGCTAGTACTATGTGTACGTGCCACCACGCCTGGCTCACACTGAGTACTGTGTGTTTGAAGAGAATAACACAAGACAAGATTAAAAAGGAAGATTGGAGCTAGACCAGAGCTCTTGACTGCCTGGTGGAAGAATCTGAACTTTATTCTAGAGTCAGTGGGGACTAGTGGAGGTTTCAAGCCGAGGAGAGATAGTCCTGAGCTGTGGTTAGGGACGTTGACCCTCTGCGGGAGGAGGAGGTAAGCCTGGAGGCCAGGGGATAGCTGGGAAGCCGTAGCCTTGAACCATGTGAGTGTTAACAAGGACCTGAGCTACTGAAGGGAAGATTTCAGGAGCCGTTCCCAAGCTCGGACACAGTTTCAGCCACACTTGATGACTGCTGGATGTGGGAGCGAGGGAAAGGGTGGAGTCAGACATGACACATTTAGCACTTAGCACGTGAGACCTTGTGTGGTGGTTTATATAACCAGCTGGCGGGCCACAGGCCCCCTTCAGGGCCGGGTCTAGCAGTATGGCAAAGGGAAAGATTGAGCATCTGGGGTCAGCCAGGCCTGGATTCGAATATTGACTGCTACTTACAAGCTGAGCATCCTTGAGCAAGGTACATCCCTCTCTTAGCCTTGGTTTCCTCTTCTGAGGAAAATCAGAATAATATGGCCAGGCTGGTGGTGACTCATACCTGTTATCCCAGCACTTTGGGAGGCCAAGGCAGGTGGATCACCTGAGGTCAGGAGTTCAAGACCAGCCTGGCCAACATCAAGAAACCCCATCTCTACTAAAAATACAAAACTAGGCCGGGCACGGTGGCTCATGCCTGTAATCTCGGCACTTTGGGAGGCTGAGGCAGGTAGATTGCTTGACATCAGGAGTTCGAGATCAGCCTAACCAACATGGTGAAACCCCATCTCTACTAAAAATACAAAAATTAGATGGGTGTGGTGGCACATACCTGTAATCCCAGCTACTCAGGAGGCTCAGGCAGGAGAATCACTTGAACCCAGGAGGTGGAGGGAGGTTGCAGTGAGCCGAGGTCATGCTACTGCACTCCAATCTGGGTAACAGAGCGAGACTTCATCTCAAAAAAAGAAACCTAGCTTGGTGTGGTGGTACACACCTGTAATCCCAATTACTTGGGAGGCTGAGGCAGGAGAATTGCTTGAACCTGCTAGACAGAGGTTGAGGTGAGCAGAGATGATGCCTCTGCATTCCAGCCTGGGCAACAGGATAATATAAATATCTACTGTGGGTGGCTGTACTGAGAATATCATTAAATTAGGCAATGCATGTGAAGCCCCAAGAAGAGTATCAGGCAAATTGTGAGGACTCCAGAGTGGTCAGGTTATTTCTTCCCCCCGCACCGAGACGGAGTTTCGCTCTTGTTGCCCAGGCTAGAGTGCAATGGCATGATCCTCACTGCAACCTCCGCCTCCTGGGTTCAAGCAATTATCCTGCCTCAGCCTCCTGAGTAGCTGGGATTACAGGCATATGCAACCACGCCTGGCTAATTTTTGTATTTTTAGTAGAGACAGGGGTTTCACCATGTTGGTCAGGCCGGTCTCGAACTCCTGACCCCAGGTGATCTGCCCACGTCAGCCTCCCGAAGTTCTGGGATTACAGGCGTGAGCTACCATGCCTGGCCATTTTTATTTTTTTTTAGATGGAATTTTGCTCTTCTCACCCAGGCTGGAGTGCAATGACACAATCTTGGCTCACTGCAACCTCCACCTTCCAGGTTCAAGTGATTCTCCTGCCTCAGCCTCCCGAGTAGCCGTGATTACACGCACCTACCACCATGCCCGGCTAATTTTTGTATTTTTGGTAGAGATGGGGTTTCATCATGTTGGCCAGGCTCATCTTGAACTCCTGACCTCAGGTGATCCACCCACCTTGGCCTCCCAGAGTGCTAAGATTACAGGTGTGAGCCACCATGCC